ATGTTTATCAGCATCATTGTCATTATTATCCTCAACATCAACATGTCATTATCATAATATCATCATCATCATTAACATCAAAATCATAATTAATTAGCATCATCATCCTCATCAGTTATTAATAATAATGATGTATTTGCTAATATATTATATGTAGGCTATATACAGTCGACTCTGCCTAAGTCAAATCTGATGGGACTGGCATAAAAAGATCGAGTTATACAGATTTCGACTTGCAAATTTTCAAAAAAAAAAAAAAAAATATTAACATAGAACAATACTATGTGTACTCAATGCTCACAAAATCGAATTTCACGCAAAACCGAACATTTTTTTAAGTCCCAAAATCATTCCTATTCGTCTTTTAATAAAATATTTTCCTGAAAACATGAACTCTCTATTCCGAATCTCGGACGATTTGTCCAATTCAGGACAGTAACACTCACTGGAAAAACCAGACGATAGTTAAATAGACATCGTTTAACGACAAGCATACCACACGCTGTGAAAACGAGACGCTTAGCTGTACTCGCATTGCCAAGGACATTATCCGTTGATTAACATGACACGCCAGTAGACGTTTTGTTGGTTAATTATGAAGTGAAATTTAGGTACGCATTCCAATGTTTTAATTAGTGTATATTCTTGCTTTTAATCCTTAAAAACCATTTGGAATCAACATGAAATAAAGACGGAACTCGACAAAGCAAGTACCTACTGGTTATTCTTTTTAGTAGACGTCTATTAAATTCAAATTTGTTAGATTCGTCAGTGTAAATTGCAAATGCACCTCAAGATGCTATTCAAAACATGTTGCTAATTTTATTACGGAGGAAATTTGTAGAGAATAAAATCTAATTTGTTAGGTTTATTTAGATTTGACTCTAAAATAATACCATGAGGGTTTCTTATTTGTTTTTTGGAGTCCGATCCATCACATTTAAGACAGTTAGTTTGGACAACGAGAGTACACAACATTCCATAAATGTTTTCCTCTTATCATACAGTTTACTAGTCTTTTCAAGAGTAGGGGGTATTGTCTCTCATTAGTATGGCTTTAATATTTGTCAAAATAGAACTATGAAATGAGGCACAACAAAAGATCCAGATTAGCTTGGGTACGGATGCACAAAACAAACAGATGTCTGGAAAGTCACGTTTGCCTGTTTACAAAAAACTGCGTAAAACATACTAGTAACGTACATACTACATACACACGAGCAGGATTTTAAAAGTTCCTATGCTTGCAAGCATAGGAACCAATAAAAACAAATTATTTTCTGGCCGATTTTTTGAAAAAGTTTTTCTGTTTAGAGCAACATCACATAGGCACACATACTCTAGCAATGTTTAAAAGAGTGTGGATTATTCCGAGTGTAGCTCATTGTATCTAGTGGCGTAGGGTACTGGCATGAGGAGGGGTAAACTAATGGGGACAATGGATAAGTGGGATGTCTCAACCCCAGCCACTGGCGAGTGGATATTTTTGTGGTAGGAAAATTTCTAGTGGCAGGGTAGGAGAACCTGAAGTGCAAATTTTTTTTTTTTTTTCTTTTTCAAAATTCTAAAAGAAAGAAAAGAAAATTAAATTCAAAAAATAAAAAGGTTGAATACCAGGGGTCTAGAAGAAGACTTATTTCTAGTGTGGTCCTTCAGGTGGTGATTGGGCAGTACACCGGGAGACAATCCCCTACTCTTTTCCAAAGAGTGTACTGCCTTCTTTAACATGCACATGGGCCCTCAATGTACACGGGACCAACGGCTTAAACGTCTCATCCGAAAGACGGTGCGCTATTATAACTTGCATTTCAGCCCTCCAGTTGAAATACAAGGAAACACAGCTATGGGAATTTAACCGGGAACCTAGAGATCTCCACGGTTCAGCACACACACAGTGGCTACCACCAGATTAGCCCACTGAGCTAAACTGCTCTACATTACTCACTCCCACTCCCTTTCCCTTTCATTGCCTTTCTCTATGGTATGACAGAGAGGGTACATGGTTTGATGTTGCACATAGAACCAATGGCTACTGTATATATCTCCTAAAGGGCCAGTGTGTATGGTAAGTTGTATCTCGCACCTCAAACTAAAACACAATGAGCAGAGCAATGGAATTGAAAAATTGAGAATTTTAATTTAAAAATTTAAAGCCCCATTCCCAGCAAAATTTCATTGTTAAGAAAAATTTAATTTTTGTATAATGTTATAAAGTTTTATAAATATAATACGGAATTGCTCGTTTAACTGAATTTAGACATTCCTAATAGCATGAAAAAAATGTAAAATAAGACTGAAATTTGAGTTTTTTTGTGTTCCACACAAAAAATAAATGCGGATGAATTTTTCATGTTTCATTTAGGTTCTGTTATCTCACATAAATACGACCGACATGATATTTTCCGTTGCTAATATTGACACTTGTGAAACATAATATTTCATAGGAATTATTTCAAATTTGTTAAAAAACTGATTCTGACCGAGATTTTGACACCTAAACAAACATATCTCAGGCCTACTCGAACGACCGTTGTTAAGAAAAATTTAATTTTTGTATAATGTTATAAAGATTTATAAATATAATATGGAATTGCTCATTTAACCGAATTTAGACATTCATAATAGCATGAAAAAAATGTAAAATAAGACTGAAATTTGAGTTTTTTGTGTTCCACACAAAAAATAAATGCGGATGAATTTTTCATGTTTGATTTAGGTTCTGTTATCTCACATAAAAACGACCGACATGATATTTTCCGTTGCTAATATTGACACTTGTGAAATTTAATATTTCATAGGAATTATTTCAAATTTCTTAAAAAAACTGATTCTGACCGAGATTTTGACACCTAAACAAACATATCTCAGGCCTATTCGAACGCATTGTGTGAGGTACGATGTACAAAAACTAATCCCATTAGAGAGGGTGCACTTTATTGACTGTATAAAGTATACATAAAAGCGAGAGTATTCCAGCGGATGCGATCTACAACCTCTGAATTTGCCTAGTAATGAAGAATTCATCGAGAAAATGGTAATATATTCTATGAGAAATAGTCTGTATTTTTCTTTTTTTTTTTCTTTTGCGTAAAACTAAAATTTATGCCAATATTTGTCCTTGTTTATAATAATTAAAGTAATGCATATGCATCTTTTCTATAAAAAAAAATCTGTTTTTAGTGAAATTTTACCGGGAATGGGGCTTTAATGATCAATGCCATTTTCATGACCTTATCACGAGTACCCTATCACGAGTGCTGTACTTACACCCTAGAATCTGTTCCTCAGCTGCTCGCAGCATTTCATTGGATGTTGGAACCCAGCGTAACCAACCACTAAACCAACCGCTGTGAAGAAAACCAAATGATTTATAATATTAATATCCTTCTAAATAATTATTTCTTTGTTTTACAAAAGAAAAATGGTTTAATATATCATAATATTTAATAAATTAATTCAAGTAACAAGTCAATGTACAAAGGGTTACCGTAAGTAACTTTTATTTCAGCCCTCCAGCGAAACACAAGGAGAGCAGCGATGGGAGTTGAACCAGGGACCTAGAGATCTCTCCATGGTTCAGCACACACACAGTGGCTACCACCAGTTTTGCCGACTGAGCTAAGCTGGTCATGAATGATACCATCAAAGTTGTGAAAACAGGTCTGGTTTACTTTGTTTGGCTTTAAAATTTAATGTCAAAAATGAAAATGCTGCATGCCCAAAACAACAAACACAAATGCAGAACCAATGTGTGAAGCACAGTTTTTCGTTAGTTTGCTTGCAAATTCAGTGTGAGAATTACACAATTTACATATTTCCTTTTACAATGATTCATATGCTGCTATGCATATGAACCAAACATTTAACTGACATTTTGAATTGCTCACTTTTTCAAAGTTAACTTTTAAAAGTCACAGATTTCAAAAAGAAAAAAAATTTTATGGTCTAAATAGAATACTTCCCAGAAATTGAAGGGTATTATACAAAAAATACCCCATAAAAAAGGTGAAAAGAATAGTGATAATGAAGATGAATACTATTACTATTACTATTATTATTATTATTATTATTATTATTATTATTATTATTATTATTATTATTATAGTTATAGTGATGCTGAGATGACAATGGCAACAGCGATGGTGAAGATTTTATTTTGTGACTTGCCTGTCTCTAATTTTTTTTCCCGATTTGACAACTCTTTCTTCACTCTCTCTGTACAAAATATAGGAATTGAAAGTTTATTAGAATAACATTCTGGCATAAGTTTTTTTCCCCTTTTATGCAGGGCTCACTTTTCAGTGAATAAAGTTTACATTTGTTTGTTTTTTGCTGAGTCCTTTTTTAGTGGATTTTTTGTTTTTCTGTTGTTTTGTGTTAATAATAAATTTGTTGAATTCTCTATATTATTTCCTTCTTTCTTTATTGGATATACACTTTCCCACCAAGGTGGTAAAACTTCATACAAGTGATAAAACATGGATGACTGCCGAAATTAAAATGCTAATAAAAAAACGTCAGTTAGCATTTGTGGAGGGTAAAAAGTATCATTGGTGCTTCCTTCGTAACAAAATTATATATTCCATCAGCCAAGCTAAGAAGTCATCCTACAACGAACGTCTTCAGAACCTCAAGACTAGTGACCCATCGGGTTGGCATAAGGGTATACAATTGATATCTAATAAATGCAAACCTCGACCTATGATTCTTGTCCCTGGTATACCTCAGAGTCTCTCAGAGTACAGTAGGCCCCAAATAAATCTTAAACAATTGCCTGCGTACTTGCCTGCTACAACCCCACCTCAAATCCATGTCTGGGATATGTACAAAGAATTGAGTAAATTGAACGCAAGGAAAGCAACAGGTCCTGATGGACTACTAGGGAAAATACTTAAAGAGTTTGCGTGCGAATTTAGCATCCCTGTAACTAGTATTTTTAATTCATCATTAGTTGAGGGATCAGTACCTCAAGTGTGGAAGGATGCAATTATTGCCCCAGTGCCAAAGGAATTACCAGCTAAAATAAGCAAACTCAGACCAATCTCTTTAACAGCCATTCTTGCTAAGGTTTGTGAGGGCTTCGTCTCTAAGTGGGTCTAGAACGATATTGCTAATCTATCGATCGCAATCAGTACGGTTACAGGGGCGGATCCAGAGATGTCCAAAAGGGGGGGCCGAAAGGGGGGCCGAAATTTGGGCCGATCGAGACAACAATGTCCCCGCAAAATTTTTGTGTTCTAGACGCCCGAAAATAACATTTGAGGCGTTGTGGGCTATCATTTTTTTCTTTTTCTTTCTTTTTTTTCTTTTTTTTTTCTTTTTTTACCTCTCAAAAGGGGGGACCGGGGCCGGGCCGGCCCCCCCTAAATCCGCCCCTGGGTTATATTAAGGGCTCATCAACCACCCACTGTTTAATTAAACTACTTGATACCATTTATAAAGGCACTGATAAACTATGATACAGTTGGCACGTTAGTAGCGACGGACTTCTCCAAAGCTTTTGATTACGTAGATCACACGATCGCAGTCCAGAAACTTTATCATTTGGTGCCCGAAGTGAAATCCTACCGTGGATTGTGGACTTTCTCACTGCGCGACGTCAGAGGGTGCGATACCATTCAACACTCTCGGACAGGGTATCTTTCATGCAGGGTCCCACAAGGCACGAAGTTTGGGCCTATCATATTTAACGCCATGATCAATGATGCATCCGAGAATGCGCATTCGTCTTCTTTTAAGTATGTTGATGATAAAGTCTGGTTGAGGTCCGTCCTACCAGGGTGCCAACCTGTATAGAGTCGGATGTCCACAATTTGGACCACTGGGCCAATCCTAACCACCTAAAGCTCAATCCATCCAAATGTAAGGTTTTACAAATTTGCTTTAAAAACCAACCCCCAAATCCTCCTAATCTTATGATAATACAATATTGGGTCTTACAGTACAGGCCAACTTGGGTTGGGATACGCATGTTAACACAATGGTATCTAAGAGCAGTCGTAGATTGTATATGCTGAGTCGGCTCAAGCGATTTGGAGTTCCAGTCCAAGATTTGGTGTCAGTGTATACTGGATATGTGCGCCGTACTATTGAATATGCCTCACCTGTCTGGCATGGAAACATTACCAGACATCAATCCAAACAGATTGAAAGAATCCAAAAAAGAGCCAGCCGTATCATTCTTGGCACAAATTATGTGTCATATAACGACGCACTAAATATTACTGGTCTCCATACGCTTGAAGAAAGAAGAATCCATTTGTGCAGTGAGTTTGCTAATAAATGTTGTAATTCAGATAGATATAAGGATTGGTTTCCTCAGAATAGCCGGTCTCACTCTATGAATCACAGGCACACAAATACATACCGAGTTCCCAAGCACCGGACTAATAGATATGGCAATCCCATTCCATTCCTCACTAGACTTTTAAATAAATAATGACAATTAGTATTCGATAAATGTCAATTTCGTTATTGCGGTTTCCAAATTTTGCCTATAGTAGAATTTAGGCGGGGCTCTGTTGCAATATGATTCAACACATCTATTTCCCTTGTTTAATATGAAATCTATTAACAATTATTTTTCTAGTCAATTTTATGTAAATTGTTTATATTTTTATATCTACCAATGTGTAATTTTGTATAAACCATAATTCTTTTTGTGCTTTTTTGTGTTTTTCGGTTTTATATTTTTCAAGTTTTAATGTATACTCATGTAATTCAGCGTTAATGCTGCCATTTGAGATTGAATAAAAAATATTGAATTAAAAAAAAATTAAAAATTATTTCTTATAATATTACAGATTCAAAATTCACCATAAAGAGATTTGTTGGACACGTCGGACCCCACCTTGTCAGCAAATATCTGGCGCCACCGCTGCATGCCGCTACTGATATACAACCCCGGTTTTCCACTAGGCAAATTTATTCACGCGATTCGAAAGCGTTGTTCATGCGCATCCGCATTCACATTTCTATAGGAGTTTTCGCTTCAACGAAATCCATAGTTCGAACTGTTTCTACTTTTTGCTGACCGAAAAAAATACGCAGCTAATCAGAGTTCAGGAAGCGAACCGACGCTTAGATTCGCGCGAATAAATTCGCCTAGTGGAAAACAGCCTTATGAAATTGTATCACTGCTGTATTTATAATTTTTTATTCCTAAAGCGTAAAACTAAAATTTTTGCCAATAAATGACCTCAAAATTATGGTTCCTTCCAGTCGGGTATATATGACAAAAAGGGGCATGGTCAGACAGAGGCGACCTGCTATTGTTCGAAGGCCAGGTCTAGGTCATAAGCCTGGTCTTCTTACCTAGTTTAGGCATTCAACACAACTACTAGTCTATGCTTGCGCATACGGGGTAGGCAAAATGCTTGCCTACCTGGTTTAACTCGGCCTATATAGCATACCATATCCAGGCCTCAATAGTTGGCTATCAGATCACTAGGCCTATCTATCGTCAATTGCTCAGGTCAGACTCTCTGGAGTCTGAGCAGAGCCATTGGCATTTATCCCAATTTCAAATGAAATTAAAACATACTTATCACAATCATTAGAAGAAACTATCAAAGAATCTGTTATTGGTGATTCTTGTATAGCACTCGCCATTCTTAAAATTGAGCTGATGATATGTTGATATACCGCACTTAAGATATTTTGATGGAACCTTCCAGCGTCAACTCCATGACACAGCAATAATATTGGTTTCTGCACTACATTACGCAATGTTTACGTTTTATGAATAGTCACGTGAGGCTTACCGTTATGGTGCGCCAATTCTACCTTTTATAGTACCTTTTCCTGCACGTTATTTATATGGGGCGCCATAGGCAGCAAACGTGTGTAAAAGGTAAAAGTGTACAGCAATTGTATAACCAATGTATATTTTCTCAAAATTCAGCTCTAATTTTACAATTTTTTTTTGTAAATCGTTTTATGTATGTATTTTATGACTTTGATTACTAATAAATTCAATCAAATCAATCAATCTAATTCTGTCGAACGCCCTCTCCGCTCGAAATTTTGTTGCAAAATAAAAAATACGTAAAACTTTAGGATGTGCACTGAGAACTACAATATAAAATACTATGTTTTTCTACGTTTCGCTTATATTAATAAATGATAGTAATATTGCTTTCAAACGGGTGTTATGTGAGGCAATGTACATGTCAGAATAATATATCTATTCGAGTTTAGTTGTGAAAAGAGAAGTTGAATCATTGAAGATGTTACAGAAATGCTTTTGTAAATAGGGAGAGAGAGACTGCATTATGCATGATTGTTGGGGTAATGTCAGAGAGCTGGAAGACATTAGATTTGAGAAAAACTGAATGGTACAGGCCAGTGCATGCTTTGAGCGTTATTGAAGTGAGAACAACTATAAAATTAATTAACATAAACTACTACTTTTTAAATATGTTATTGGAAAAATGAATGTATAAATTTTATCTTTTACTTTACCGTTCTTGTGTCTATGACCCCGCGAAGGCAAATACACATGTTAAGATCTGGCAATTAAAAATGGCGGAGAGGATGAATCCGGTGAATCCATGATGGGTTATGTGCATAGAGCTATTAAAC